GTTCAATCAGGGAGTGATAACTTCTGTGCGAGGGGATGACAGGTGATTTATGCATCAGATCAAGAACAGGACCAGCTTGGCCAGCGTGGTTCAGTGATTCAGGAGGTCATGGTTCGATTCCCAGTCAGGGGATACGCCCAGGTAGCGGGCTCAGTCCCTGGTGGGCATGCAGGAGGTAGCCCAATCAATGATTCTCCCATCATTGATGTTTCTATCTCTCCCTCCTTCTTCTCTGAAAAAAAAAAAAAAAAAGAATGGGATCAAGGGACCACTCTTTGAACCCTTGAGACGTTCTGTGGACTCTGAAAGGACTTCCTAGAAAGGATGCAGGACAGGGAAAAGGGCACACAGACTTTTGACCAGGAAAGACCTTGGTTCAAAAGCTGGCTCTGACACTTTGACCACCTCTGAGTCTCAGTTTTACCACTAAAATAGCAATGATGCTGCCAGCCTCACAGGTTAGCATTTTAGCTGGAACCAGCAATAATTGTTAGTTTATGAAGTGGGTGTTATTCCTCAAAAAAACCACCTGGGGGCACCCTGTGAAAGAATTTGAGTCTTGGGTGCTCTGCTAGAGGCAACCTTAAGAAGGAAACAATGTACTAGAGGAGAAAAATGCCCATTTTCCCCTGACCTCTATTGGTAAAGCCTGGGTAGGACCCCTTCTCTGGCATCTGCCGTGCATCTGAGCACCATTGCCAGGCTGGCCTGCCAGCATTCTCTGCCCCAGCCCCCACCTGTGGGAAAGCCAGTGTTTTCCCCACGGGGCTGGGCTTTGGGTCCAGGCCCTGTCCGCATACACAAAGCCAAGCTGTTCTAAGTAAATGTCTAAGAGGCCAGTGGAGTATGTTGTGCCCCACACAGGGAGCTTGTCTGCTTACCCCATGCAGAGAAGAGAAGGAGGGCTGAGGGCCATGCCTTACCAGCCAGAAGCCTGGGAGGAAGAAGGAAGCTCCTGGCCCGGAGCCTGGCATCTGGGTTGCCACCCCCCATAGGAAGACCAGGAGAGCGTAGGCCAGTGATGGCGAACCTATGACACGCGTATCAGAGGTGACACGCAAACTCATTTTTTGTTAAATGGCATTTAAACATATAAAATAAATATCAAAAATATAAGTCTTTGTTTTACTATGGTTGCAAATATCAAAAAATTTCTATATGTGACACGGCACCAGAGTTAAGTTAGGGTTTTTCAAAATGCTGACATGCCGAGCTCAAAAGGTTCGCCATCACTGGCGTAGGACCACCCTGGGGCTTGCTCATTCTCAGCATGCGTGCCCTGAGCGTGTGCCGAGACACACAGGCGTGACTCTAGGTGCAGTGGGACGTGCTCAGAGGCTTTGAGGCAGGGGAGTGGCAGACACACAAGGCTGTCCAGGACACAAACGCTGTGATCCTGGGCCTGGCATATTGCAGCCTCAAAAGAACTCCCTGGACATGAAATATAGGATCTCCAAATCCTGTATTTAAAAATGGAATCTGGATATTTTTAATCGGCCCCGCTTCTAAGTGGAGTTGCCTGGTTCTTTAACTTTATTCCCAAGTGTGGCATGCCCAAGGGCACGGTTCACATCTCACTACTTCCTCCCAGTGTCTGGCCGGGCACGAGTGCTCAGGAATATCTGACAAATACATGTCCTAATCCACTCATACCTGGAATGTTCGCCCTGCTTCCCACTGTCCTCCCAGGCTTACCCTCTTCAGGCCATTCTCCAAGCTGGAGCCACAGCCAGTTTGTCAGTCAACACATTTTTATTAAGTTTTTACTATATTTCAGACATATTTCTACGTTAGTAGGGATTATTATGGGCCGGATTATGCCCCCGAAAAGTTCATTTGTGGAAATGCTAACCTCCAGTACCTCAGAATGTGATTATATTCATGAATAGGATCATGACTGAGATGATTAAAGTAAAATAAGGTCATTAGAGTGGGCTCTAAACCAATGTGACTGCTCTCCTCATAAGAAGAGGAAATATGGACACGGACTCATACCGAGGGAAGGCCATGTGAAGACATGGAGAAGATGGCACCAGGCAAGCCAGAGAGAGAGGCCTGGGACAGCTTCCCTCACAGCCCCGGAAGGAATGAACTCTGCCAACGCCTTGATATCCAGTTCTAACCTCCAGAACTAAATGTTGAGGCTTCCCACCTTGGGGTACTTTTTTACTGCAGCTCTAGGAAACTAGTACAGGGATATAACAGCAAAACGATGAGGCGAGCCTCACGGAGCTTATGCCCCCGGTGAAGGAGACAGACAATACATTTTTAAATTTCAGGACCAAGAACAGAATGATATGAAAGAGTGAGCCTGGGGTCCCAGGGAAAATCCTTGAGCAGTGGAGAAGGAAGGCCTCTCTGTGCAGGTGACATTCACCCCGAGACCTGAGTGGGAGAAGCAGCGTCCATGTGAGCTCCTGGGGGAGGTGCAGAGAGCTTCAGGGGTTGGGAACTGCAATGCAGAAGCCCTAAAGCAGGGATGGGGAACCTTTTTTCTGCCAAGGGCCATTTGGATATTTATAACATCATTCTCAGGCCATACAAAACTATCAACTTAAACATTAGCCTGCTATGTTTGGTCAAACATTTAATTAACTCACTCCTAATGCCTTGGCAGGGCCAGATGAAATGATTTCGCGAGCTTTATAAGGATGTTCCCCACTCCTGCCCTAAAGGAACAGAAAAAGGCCAGGGGCCCTGGCTGGCATTGCTCAGTGGTTAGTGTGCCCTCCTACTCCCCCCCCAACCCCCCTCACTGAAAGGTCTTGGGTTCAATTCCCTGTCAAGGGCATGAACCTGGGTTGCAGGTCAATCCCAGGCCTGGGTCCGAGTGCATGTGAGAGGCAATCAATGGATATATCTCTCTCACATCAATGTTTCTCTCTCACTCACTCTCCTTCTCTCTCCCCACTTCTCCTCTCTCTCTCCCTTGTTCCCCTCTCCCTTCTACTCTCTCTAAAAATCAATGGAGAGGGGAACTCACTAGACCAAGATGGTTTACAAGCTTCCTTCTGAAATGCACTTCTAACCACCTCGTTCCCAGGTACCAATTGCTGTCTGGCTTCCTGTCCCCAGCAGCAGTGTTTATCTAAATTAGGTCTGTGGACTCTATCATGGACTGACTTGTGTACACCCCCCCTCCCCCCCACACACACACCAAATCTATATGTTAAAGCCCTAAGTCAGATAGGGGCCCCATATGACTTATTTGGAGATAGAGTCTTCAAGGAGATAAAGTTAAATGAGGTCATAATTGTGGGGCCCTAGTCCACTATCACCGGTGTCCTTATAAAAAAAGGAAGAGACACCAAGAGTGCGTGCAGACACAGGGAGAGGGCAGCCTCCCGCAAGCCAGGCAGAAAGGCCTCACCAGAAACCAACCCTGGGGCACCTTGATTTTGGACGTCTAGCTGCCAGAACTGTGAGAAGATAAATTTCTGTTGTGTAAGCCCCCCAGTCTGTGGTAATCTGCTATGGCAGCTCAAGCAGACTGATCCAGAGCTTAACTTCCCCGACTGCCCAACGCTCTCCTTACAGGTGCTGCTCACAGACTCATCGAACACCCCAAAGCAGAATCTGGGGGATGGAGCCCAAGAATCCATGTTTGGAATGAGTTCCTGGTGCCCCATGAGCTCCTGAGGGCAGTGAAGACTGATTCCAAAAGCTAACCCTCTGGCCACCAGCTCCTCTGACCACCAGCCTCCCTCTCTGTGCGTGAAGACCTCATCTTCTCTGGCCTCCAGGTTAATGGGCGAGTTCATTCTGCCAAGTTGCTCCATTTCCTCACATTCTCCCTGAGCCCTCCACCACGAGGCCAGCGAGCACAGGACTGGATGTGGAGCCTGGAAACCCAGAGGTAAGTCAGCTCTGAGCCCTGGCACGTGGAGAGACGATGGCTGTGAATAACCTGCCTCCCGGCAGATCCCGTAAGGACTGCAGGAAGGGGCACTGAGCGACTGGGGAGTGTGGGCAAGTTTCACGCACAGAATCCTGTAGGAGTGGTTATGCATGTGTAGTATCTCTGCCCAGCTGCTGCGGAAGCAGGTGAAGGAAGTGCCCTGCCTTACACCTCCTCGTCCCCTCCACCCTCTTGGATATAATGGGCCTCCGTGATTTGTGGGTTTCGGTCCTCTGGCTGCTTCCAGCTTTACTAGGAGCCGCCCTCCAGTGGCTGGGGCAAAATTTTAAAAACATAAGGTCCACTCTGGCAGAAAAGGTACATACTAGTACTTTTGAGTCCTCACACCCTGGGTTCTGAGTCTGGTTTTCCACTGACCACCTGTGTGGTGTGGCCTCAGACAATCGTGTAGTTTCTGAGCTTCCTTGTCTGTGAAAGAAAAGAGGGATAATATTTCCTACACAGGTTTCTCTATAGAATTAAATGAGGCAACCTCTGTTGGCCTTCAGTAAAGGCTCATAGGGTACTCCTTATATAACAGGGATTTGCCCTACCTGAAGGCACTGCAAGAGGACACTGGGAAAATTAAGTGTAATAGACAATCTCTCAGCAATGCCCCACCTGCATCCTGTCCAGCCAACAGGCATTTAACTGAACACACGCCTTTGGGTAGCAGGCCAGTGGTTCATGGCCTCAGTGCCGAAACTTGGCTCCAGGAGGGCAGGGACTACTTCGCTGATGTATTCCCAGCAGTTAGAGACCAGGCTGAGCACATAGTAGGTGCACAGTAATTATTGTTGAATGAATGGAGTGAATTGATCAATAAATGACTGGAAGAGCCTGGCCGGTGTGACTCAGTGGTTGAGCGTGGACCTATAAACCAAGAGGTCACAGCTCCATTCCAGGTTGGGGCACATGCCGGGTTGCGGGCTTGATCCTCAGTGTGAGGCATGCAGGAAGCAGCCGATCAATGATTCTCTGTCGTCATTGATGTTTCTATCTCTCCCTTCCTCTCCGAAATCAATAAAAATATATTAAAAAGAAAGAAAGAAAGAAGAAGGAAGGAAGGAAGGAAGGAAGGAAGGAAGGAAGGAAGGAAGGAAGGAAGGAAGGAAGGATTGACTGGAAGGTACAATCACAGTGGACAGTGGGCCTCTGACTCATTTTTAAGATCTTGAGCAAGTCCTTTGATCTCCCTGAGCTGCTTTCTTCCCCCCCCCCCCCCTCCCCGCCGCCCCTGTGAAGGCAGAGGTGTTGAACTCATCTCGGGGCACTGCAGAGCAGGATTAACGCAGTGATGTTAATAATACCGAGCACTGCTGTGGACAGGGCGCTGTAGTCAAGAATCCTAGGAGGAAATAGTATTTCACCTCCACTCTATAGAAGAGGGAACCGGCACGGAGAGGCAGTGGACCCTCTCCTCCTGCAGAAGGGGGATTTGATTACGTTTCAGAGGAAGGACGAGGGCTCCGACTCAGCAACGAAGAGGACCCATGGTCAGAAGATGTCACTGAGCGGCGGTAGCCACCGACGTATGAGAGACCAACCCTCCAGCCCCGCCCCGAAGCAGGCAACCCAACTCCGCCCCCCGCGTCGTCATGGCAACACTCTCCGCACATGCGCCCCTTGCACCCGGACCTGGCCTGGTGAAGCTCATCAAAGCCAAGAGGATTGCGGCCCGCAGAAGCAGGCCGAGCGGACTGGGCGGCTGGAGGGGGAGCAGGAGCGTGGGAAGAACTTTTAAAGGGGCGCGCAGGGGCTGCCGATGGTGAGGGCTGGGAGCCCCGGAAGTCGGTATCGAGGAGGCAGAGGAGAAGCAGGGCGGTGTGACCTCTCCAGGAGGTGACCAGGGAGGAAGGAGCTGTGTAAATGCCCTCGGGGCAATATTGGGATGGCTGCCCCCAGGGAGAAATACGGGGTAGAAGGGACTATGGAATTACACTTTCTGGGTGATACGAGGTAGAGGGGGATGGGTAACCCCTCAGGACAGTGACGGGAGCGCAGACTCGAAAGATGCTAATGGGGTAATAAGAACGGTGGGCTCCACTCCGCTCCACCACCCGAGGAGGGAGCTAGGACTCGCGGAGCCAGGGGGCAGGTGAAGAGGGCTCATAGGTCCAGCTTGGGACAGTAACGCTCTCCCTTCCCCTGCCCTCAGCATTCTGCCATCTCCCACCCCGTCCCGGTGCCCAGCCATGACCAGACCACCCGCCCCTGGCTCAGTGATTGTCCCCGACTGGCACGAAAGCGCCGAGGGCAAGGAGTGCCTGACCTGCATCCTGCGCAAGAGCCGCCGGCGGGTGTTTGGTAAGTAACCCCTTCCCCTCCCCACCCCCACCCCCCAGCCTGTCACTTGCCATTCCTTAGGGAGAACAGTGTTACCTGGGGGGGGGGGGGGGGGGGGGGGCGGGGCGCAGAGAATCAGGGCCTTTGGCACTGCATTCCTCAGCCTTGGGACCTCTGGTCTATCCCTGGGGCCCTCACCCCGAACTCGCCTTAGAGCTAATTCCACCATCAGAGCCAGGACCATGGAAACAGGGGAAACCCTGCCAGAAACTACAGTCACCAGAGAGGCTGTTGATTGAGCCCTCACCCCATGCCAGGCCCTCTGCTGGGCACTTGACACAGCAGACTCCGGTTTCACCTTCTCCGCAGCACATCTCACAGACGTGTTAAGACTAGCGAGGAGACACAAGCCTCTTTCATATCCTGCTCGCTCCCGGATAAGACACTCCTGTTCCCCAGGATGAAGCCAACTCCCCAGGCGGGGCCGGGCCGACAGGCCAGCAGAAGGGCCTGGCATGGGCTGTGAGAGTCCTGCTCTGACCAGGGGAGACAGAGCCCCAGAAAGCTTCAAACCAGAGAATGAGAGGGCATCCCGCAACGGAGGACTCTGAGGTCCTGTGCCTATCGATGTAGCATCATTTTAGACTTTTTTATTTTGCAAGTTTTAAATTAAAAACATGCATAGCCCTGACTGATGTGGCTCAGTTGGTTGGAGTGTCATCCCACACACCAGAAAGTGGTGGGTTTGATTCCCGGTCAGGGCATATTCCCAGGTTGTGGGTTTGATCCCTAGTCAAGGTGTGCACAGGACGCAACTGACCGATGTCTCTCACATCCACGTTTCTCTCTCTCTCTCTCTCTCTCTCTCTTCCTTCCACTCTCTAAAGTCAATTTAAAAAACTATAAAGATCTTGATATATTAACTGTAAGGAGTTTATTTATATAATTGAGAATGCTTTTGCTGATATTTCTCTACTGAGGAAAGAATTATGAAACCCCTTACCTTTACATGTGAGAAATCTAGGACATGTGATAATAATATCAATACAAACCATCTCATGCGTCAAACTTAAAAACATAATTTGGTGCTGTTTGGAGTGGGCTTGGCCCAGCTCACAGAGCAGTGTTCTCAGCAGAGCTTACCCAGGAATGCTGCTTGTGTCCCAGGCCTCGGTAATGAGTACAGAGAACCACGGGTGGTTGGCGCTGAAAAAGCCCTTAGAGAGGAAGTTGTCCCACCCAGGGTCTGATGGGGCAAGGCGCTGGGTGGGACCACCTGACCCCACATGGTTCCCTTCTTGCCCCAGGGCTGCTCGAGCGACCAGTGCTGCCCCCAGCTGTGGCCATTGACACGGCCAGCTACAAGATCTTCGTGTCTGGGAAGAGTGGTGTGGGCAAGACGGCGTTGGTGGCCAAGCTCGCTGGCCTGGAGGTGCCCGTGGCACACCATGAGACCACTGGTGAGTCCATCCTGGGGTGGAGAAAAGACTGTCCCTGGAGCACACAATCTGGGATTTGAACCCGCCCCTCCATTTACTCTGCAGCCTTGGAAAGTCACTCACCTCTCTGAGCTGCACTGGCTCCTCTGTCCAACAGGGATAATAGCATCCATCCCACGGGGTTGTTGGGAGGTTGGTACTAGGGATAGTGGTGGTAACATGCCTAGCATTGAGGTGGTGCAAGGCAAGTGCTCAGAAAACACTAAGCTTTTCTTGCTTCCTTCCATTGGATGCTGATTAACCATCACATTCCAACATCCTCCAGTGTCCTGGGAGCTTTGGGTCCCCTTGTACCTATGAGTGAAACTTGGTTGTCATGGCTGCTGGGTCGAGGGCTCTATCTGCCTGGTAGGCGGGAGGCTCCTCCAAGGCAGGTCAGCTTCCCTCAGACTGAGAATTCTCCCGGGCCGGGGACTGTGCTTTCCCCATCAGACTTGGACCCTCGAGGGCAGGGACGTATTCTTCCAGTTCCTTCCTGGCCCCCCTACCTCTCTCCACCTCTGCCTCTCCCACGCTAAGTGGCTGACCCCGGCCTCCCCAGGCATCCAGACCACCGTGGTATTTTGGCCTGCCAAGCTGCAGGTCAGTGAGCGTGTCGTCATGTTCCGCTTTGAGTTCTGGGACTGCGGGGAGTCTGCGCTCAAAAAGTTCGACCACATGCTGCCGGTGAGCAGGCAGGTGGGCCTGGGTGGGTCCCCGCGGGGCTGCTTGTCCCAGATGGGCCTCTGAGCCCGGCCTGCTTGGTTTGCAGGAGCCAGAATTGGGCTTGAATGGGCTGAGGGTGCTGCCCCTGCTGGGAGAGCTCTGAACTGGCGCTGGGGACTGGATCGCGGCCACTCACTGCTCGGGCCTCAGTTTCCCAGTCTGTGAAAGGAGGGGTTGTGCTGAGACTTCTCAGGGCCCTGCAGCGGACAGGAGGGTTCTGGTCCCGGGGTACAGCCTTGAGCGAGCCTCTCCATCCCAGGCTTGCAAGGAGAAGACGGACGCTTTCCTCTTCCTCTTCTCTTTCACCGACCGTGCCTCCTTCGAAGACCTCCCTGGACAGCTGACCCGCATAGCAGGCGAGGCCCCTGGTGTCGTCAGGATGGTCGTTGGCTCCAAGTATCCTTTGGGTGGCCCCTAGGACTGTCAGAGGCCACACCTGGAAAGACATGCAGCCTACCTCTGCCCAGCTGTGGGTCCAGCCCCATAGGCTCTATCTTAAAGCCTGCAACAGGATCTCCCTCAGACCCTGGGTGTGGGGCTCCAGGGGGGAGGGAGAGGCTGGGTGTGATGGGATGGTTAGCAGTGTCACCCGGCCAGGCTCCTTAACCCTCTTCCAGGTTTGACCAGTACATGCACACAGACGTGCCTGAGCGTGACCTCACAGCCTTCCGGCAGACCTGGGAACTGCCCCTCCTGCGGGTTAAGAGTGTGCCAGGGCGGCGGCTGGCAGATGGGCGCACGCTGGATGGGCGGGCTGGGCTGGCTGACATTGCCCATGTGCTCAATGGCCTGGCGGAGCACCTGTGGCACCAGGACCAGGTGGCAGCTGGCCTGATTCCCAACCCTGCAGAGAATGCCCCCGGCTGACATGAGTGGGCACCTGTGGTCCTTACTCCTGACTCTCAGGTGACTCAGAGCAGGGGATAGGACCCAGGACCTAGGGCTTGGTCAGGAACCTTGATCTCAGCCTGAGGACTGGTCAGGGAGGATGGTGGCCTGTGAAGACTCTGCCCCAGCAGCACTTTCCTTACAGAATTCATGGCATGAGGTGCAGGCACAAGGCTTTGTGGGGCAGTGGTTTGAGGTCCTCTGGCCTTCTCCCTTGGCCCTGGGGGCCCAGGCTCTGGAAACTGAAGAACTGCATGGGCAGGTCCCAGATCTCCAGCATCTCCCCAACCTCCTGCTGTCCCTCCCCTTCTGCAGCACACAGGGAAGATAAGATGACTGGGGAGAGAGGGGGTCTCAGCTGGGCCCTGGACCTCAAGTGACTTCAATCAAGAGCCAATATTACAGGGTGGGGCAAAAGTAGGTTTACAGTTGCTTTTTTATGGAAAATAAGACTATATATATAAAAGCCTATGCAACCATTACGACTGGTCGACCGAACGACCGGTCAACCAGTTGCTATGACATGTACTGACCACCAGGGAGCAGATGCTCAACTCAGGAGCTGGTGGTCAGTGCGCTCTCACAGCCAACCTGGGACAGACCAACCTCCCATGGTCCCTACCCCCGGCCGGCCCCCGATCAGCCCTGATCGGGACTGGGCAAAAAGGCCCCAATTGGCCCCAATCGCCAGCCAGGCTGAGGGACCCCACCTGCGCACGAATTTGTGCACTAGGCCTCTAGTAATTAATAAATTAGTAATACAAAGAATAAACTCTGTGTTTCACATACTCAACTGTATACCTTTTTGCCCCACCCTGTAGTTGGGGTAATACCATCTGCTGTACCAGAAAACCCTGAAGTCTCAGTGGCTTGCCTCTAGAAGTTTTTTTCTTACGTCTCACCTTAGGTGGAGATGAAGGTGGCTTTGGGGTCTTGGCTCCATGCATTCACTCAGAGACCCAGGCTCTGAGATCTTCAACACATGGCTTCCCTGTTTGCCCTGGGGCATCACCATCCAGTGAGCAGACCAATGAGTGCAAGTGAGAGGTCACCCAGGAGGTTTCTGTGGACCTGCCCTAGGGTGGTGTGCCTCATTTCTGTCCACATTCCTTTGGCCAACCCCTGGTCACATGCTCACATGGAGTTGTAGGGGAGGCTGGGGAAAAAATGTCCTCCTGTGTGTCCAGGAGGTGAGCCCCTCACTCTGCAGTGCCTTTCTTGATCGTGAAGCTGTCAGGCTAGGCTTAGGACAGGGGCCCTGCCAGTCTGGGGGAATCAGAAAGCATCACGGACCAGGTGGGGGTCAGGGAGTGAGTTGGCCTGTGGGCAGCTCTGCCCTGTGGGAAGCCAGCAAGGACAGGAGCAGGAAGATGAGTGAACTTGCTCATTTTTAAAAAAAGTACTTGTCTCTTTTAAAAAATATTTTTTTATTTTTATTGATTTTTTTAGAGAGAGAGGGAGAGGAGGAGAGAGAGAGAAATATTCATGTGAAAGCGAAAAATTGATTGGCTGCCTCCTGTACGCTCCCTACCGGGGATTGAGCCCACAACCTGGGCATGTGCCCTTCTGGGAATTGAACCAGCAACCTTTCTGTACACAGGACGATGCCAGGGCTGAACATGCTCATTTTTGTGTCTCACTTGACACTGGTGAATGCAGGCTGAAGTGAGGGTGGAGGGGTGGAGGGTGCTGACTAAGGACCTTTAAGCTTTCTGAAAGTCCCTTATGATACCCCACTGGCTCCATAGCTTGACCCCTGGGCTGAGGCCTGGCCTGAGTCTAACCCAGCTGGCAGGGCCCTGGAGGTCTAGGTATAGTGACCTCCAAATCCAGCTGCCCTTGGAGACCCTCTTCAGAAGTCAGCACTGACAGCTTTGCACAGCCACACTCACATGTGATCATGTGCACACACACACCAGCACTCCTGAAATGCCCGCCCCTCCTGGCACACACAGGAGGCTCATACATACCCCCTGCTTGCACTCCTGAGCACACGGATGGCCTGCCTAGCACTTGCCACATCTGTCTACCTTGGGCACTGTCCATAGGCTTGCCAACCCTTCCAGGGCCTAAAGGACTGACCAGCATCTTCTCACCACCAACTCTGGTTCACAGCTGAGGCCTGAGCTTATCTCAAACCCTAGAGAAGGAACGTCCCTGGGGAGGACCCCAAGACTCACGGTGGCACAGCCTGTAGGCCATAGACCTTCCCACTGTGGCCTCCAGCTCTGCTCCCAAGCAGCTGGCCTTCAGCCTGGTCCCCTCTGGTCTTAGCTCCCATTGACCTTACCCCACCAGGGCAGCAGCAAACTGTGGGACCCCGTGAAGATGTCCTCTGGGCTTGAATATGAGCCTCTAGCTACAGGTACCTGTGTTGTGAGCACCAGCTACCCCATATCCCAGCCAGTTATCTCTGGGCTTAAAACTCCCCCAGGAAGGAAGCTTCTGGATCCTTCTTGGGTACCATCTCTGCTAAGGGCCAGAAGGTTACTCTGGAGAAATAACCCAGGTCCTCCCCACAACAGGACAGGGCAGGCCAGGCTCCTGGTTAGCACTGCTCCACTCAGAGAATCTCTCATCACCCACCTTCACCCAAATCAAGGGTCAACAATTTTCCTTCGCCATCTCCCTGGGAAAGAATGGAGCAGGGAGGAAAATGGGGCTGGGACTTGGAGCCTGGCCACCCAGCGCCCCAGTTTGGTCACCATGACATACCCAGTATCCACTGCATGGCAGGATGCAGTCAGTCAGTAGTCACTGCACAAACTTAGGTGCTATTTACTCCTCCATCCACCCATCTCCTATGTCCATCATCCACGCTTTCATCTGCCCCTGCTCCACCAAGCCATCGTCCGTCAATCTACCAGTCTGCCCATCTACCTCCACGTGTGCACCCCTTTATAGAGATTTGCCAATTGTTTTCCTGTCTAGTTAACCATCTGTCCATCTGCTGCTCACTCATCTATCAGGCTACTCAGGCCTCCCACATTTGTTGTTAACTTCCCCATCCATCCATCCATCCATCCATCCATCCATCCATCCACAGGTTCCTAGCCAGGCCCTGGGGAAACGGCCCTGCAGAAGCAAAAATGAATTAGACCTCATTCCCTTCCTTCCAGAGCTCCCTGTGCAGGCAGGATAAGGTGGAGAACTTCCCCCACCCCAGGGTCATGACACCCAGCTTCTTGGGCCCTGGGATGAGCATTTATTACCCCTCTGACAGGAGTGCTCACATCCAGAGTTTGCTGTCCCAGCCCTGCAGATAGCACAGAACTCAGTGACAGGCCTGAAGGAACCCTACTTCCCACCCACACCCGCCTTTGCCGCCTACTCACAGGCTCTGCAGCCATCCTCATCATGGTGAGGGG